TAAACTCTCAATCAGCAACTAAATGAAAACCTTAAAGTTGGGCTGCTGTTTCAAGCCTCAATCAGACTTCATGTGTGTCAAGCAAGATTGAGCTGATATGAGTCAAATATCTTTGACCTGTGTCAACTGCACCTGTCATTGAGCTTTATCTGACTGAGCGTAGTGAGTCAGACACATCCCCAACCAATCCCATCTCTGAGCAATCATCCTCAACAGCTGTTGCCAAATAAAAGAAAGAAAGAAAGATGTTAATCAGAAAACAATCAACCAGGAATATCGGTCAATCTGAGGTGCCTGTCCAGAACTCGTATAGTGCTCTGGGCAAACAAGTACCTCCGTCATCACAGAATTCTGTGAGGAGTTCTTCATCATTACGTTCGCGTCAGAGATTACCCAGAGATCAAGATTCATTACCTAATATAGCTTAATGGAATTGCAGAGTACAGAGTATCTCTATAGAAACATAAAGAAAAGGGATGCAGTTATTGGAAGTTTAATACGTCACTATTAAGACGTGAGGAATATATAGTACTAGTTACCGACGTATTAAATGATACTAAGCATGAATAAGCAGACCCTAAATAACGGTGAAGTGAATAAGACTAATGATGAAGACATACTTTTAATTGTCAATAACACGTTTTTCTTAGAAACCTTCTTAATGAAAGTTGAAGGCAAATCCATTTCTTATTCCTCATATAAAGAAAAGTAAGAACGAAAAATGTTGGAACCAAACATATGTATTTTGGAAGATGAATTAAGAAAATATTTCGATGTTGATGAAACTCTTCTTGCAAATCTTTCTAAAAATACAATAGAACTTGAAAAAATGAAAGTAGAAGACATGAAAGGAATGCAAATTCGAAACAGAATACAATGGTATGAAGAAGGACAGAAACCAAAAAAAATGTTTTTGCCAATAAGAGAATACAAACTACACAAATCAACTCTGTCATTATAGATAATGGTCAAGAAATAACGGATAGAAAAATAATAATCTATGAACAAAAAGGATTTTACGATGTGTATGAAATTGAAAATTATATTTCTTCGAAAAATATCAACGTGGATTCATTTAATAGAAAATGGTATGTAATATCACCAACATTGTCAGTGTTATGACTTTAACTTCCGATGATACAGTACTTGCATTTCATTGTGATTTAACGATCTTGCATTCAGTCTACTATTCCAAGCACATAATGTATTTAAATATATGTAAGTGTGCCTTTCTATGTATGTTGTCTCTGACTTAGGGACCCGTGAAGGTCCGGGTTAGAAATTGATCTTCAGTAACCCATGCTTATCGTACGAGGCGACTAACAGGATCGGGTGGTCAGGCTCGATGACTTGGTTGACGCGTGTCATCGGTTCCCAATTGCGCAGATCGATGCTCATACTATGTCTACACAATGCCATCTTTAGAAAGTGGTCAAATGTACAGCTTGTTCAACTTGACCTGATCAAATGAATACTAATGCATTGCGTGACCGTGTCACAACTGGTGTGGTCTATTATTGTGAAGGGGTGCACCTTTGTCAGTTGATTGTCAACATGGTCGAACAGCCGAGACAAGGTAGCCGTTTGACATCTCTGTGTCGACAAATCGTCAGCAATGTCCTAACTGTCTTTAAAAATGAAGCTACAGATGGTTTAATGTTTCCGAATCGCGCTATAACGAATCCACGTGTCCATGCTTCGCACGAACGCAACATTAATTACATTCTCTGCTACCCTATTTAATGAAGTTAACTCGACAAGCCGTTTGTGCGATTTGACCTCCCGGGTCATGCATATGTAGAGTGGCTCAGGTCAAGCTGAACAAGCTGTAACATACGTTATGTTTGGAATTACACTTTCTTTGTGATGTGGAAATTCTCGTACTTTGTTGGGTTGAGTCCCATCCGGACGTGGAAGTCGCGGTGGCTGAGCTGAGGGTTTTAATCCCGGGTGGGACTCAACGCAACAAAAGTACTAGGATTAGTACTTTTCTAAGATAGTGTCATCTCAAATATAACGTGTGTTAGATGCTCATACTGTTGATCAATGAATTGTCTGGTCCAGACTCGATTATTTACAGACCGCCGCCATATAGCTGGAATATTGCTAAGTGTGGTGTAAAACTAAACTCACTCACTTAAAGGCTCGGAAAATTGATGTTTGTATCCAAATAAAGTGAATAAAAAACTAATTTTATAATGTTTAATGTTTTGACAAACGTGACACATCGTGACATAAGACATTAAGTTGAAACAGCACTAGCAAACATAAGTTTTTTATATAGACCAAAATGAAAATGACAAATATGAAGCACTCGGTCAGTCAATATCTTGTGTACCCTCCTCGCACGTCCAAGACTCAAGTGCACCTTGTTCTCATGCTCCTAATCCTATATTGATTATACCAACTTTGGTTGTCAGTCCAGATTTGAAGAGGTTATCAAGCGACGATGTCATATTAGCCACACGAGATATATTCAGGAATATATGTTCAAGGGTGAGGATCCTCCATTTTAAATCCTGCTTGACTGTATTGATTTTTCAATCACAAGGGATGTATATTTATTTCAGTGTTAAAACTGTTAAGGATGTTTCTAACAATGTTAATTTTCATTTTAATGCCGATTTTTTTTAAAGAAATTGAAATGCTTGACACGTTCTGAGTCATATGTTTTGTATGTAGATGTATTTTTTATAATTGGAAGCTTAAATCAGTAACTGCTATTGGTAGTGGCCGTATCCCCAAAGGAGGTTAAAGTATTGTATCCCAAAACATTCAAAGTCAATATAATTCTATCCACTCTTTTCAACTATAGAGTATATGTCTGTATGACTTGATGTGCTGAAGGGATGGTGTAAATCCAGCTAGGGTCCATGCAGGAAGAAAAGGTAATGTAAGTCGCGGGTTCGATCCCCGACCGCGTCATACCAAAAGACGTTAAAATATGGTAACTTGTTGGTCCCCTGCCTGGCGCTCGGCATTAATGGGTACAACAAGGACTGGTCGGCTCGGAGTCAGTATAATGTGTCTGAGTGGGGTATTCATGCTTCACTGCGGTATGGTATCTCAGTGGGCTAGCACTATAAAACCAGCTTCAGTCTGGGCTAGTACAAGCAGCCGCACATACACATACACACGCATGCACGTCGTCATATGAGCGAAATATTCTCAAGCACGACGTAAAACCCAATTTCACCTCACCTCACACCCTGCTCCCAAAGGAATTCCGTGACAATCTTGGTCCTATGAGGCTCAGCGTTGTCGTCTTGCAGTAAAGGGGGTCGACCTTAAAACCCATGCATAGCTTGCAGGAATGGTACTGCTATAGGAGCCATAATCTCGTCCCGATAACGCTGTCCGGTAAGTTCGACTACGTGCAGTGGGGTACGTCCAGTAGGAGTTATCCCTGCCCAAATCATGACCGACCCCCCGCCAAATCGGCTATGCGTGGCCACAGTTGCATATGGAATTCGCTCTGCTTTGCGACAATAAATCCTCTGCCGACCATCATGGAAGGACAAATGCAATCTGCTGTCATCTGTGAAGAGAACACGAGACCATTGACGTTGATTCCAGCGACCATGATGTCTACTCCATCGCAAACGCGACTGCCTGTGGCGTGGTGTTAGTAGTGGTGGATGAACTGCAGGTTGCCTACTTCGGAGTCCGGTTGCCCTTAAACGTCGACGAACGGTGCTCCTGGATATCTTTATATTGTTAACATTGAAGTGTTCTGTATGAAAAATATGTTACGCAACGCGGTGTTGATCATGTGCCTATCACCTCGGACTGTTGTGATTCTGGGGCGACCTGGTCGACGTGCATATTCCACGGACCCATTGGCTTGAAGTCTTTGCCACAGTCGACCAATAACACACTGACTCACATTAAAGCGGACAGCAACCTGCCGCTGTGTTTGACCAGATTCCAAAAGGAATCCTCACCCCTATCAGCACGTGTCAAAAAACGTCTCATTTTCAGTTGCAATTTCAAACAAGTGCCTGAACAGTGAATGCCAGTGAAAAAGCATCAATGCATGTGTATTGCCCTCCACTTTCCATGGATAGAGCGACTTGCGCGTGAAGCCTCTGAAAGAGAATTTTGATTGTTTACACTCGATACATTAATTATGTCATGTATCTAGCCTGTATTTAAGTCCATCAAGGAAAACTGGTTGGTTGTCTGGTCGGTTGACGCCGCACTCAGCAATATTCCAGCAATATGACGGCGGTCTGTAAATAAACGTGTCTGGACCGGAGAATCCAGTGATCAACAGCATGCGCATCGCACTACACAACTGGGATACGATGAGATGTGTCGACCAATTCAGCGATCCTGACCACCCGATCCCGTAGGTCGCTATCGCCTATTACGACAAGACTGGGTTGCTGAAGACCAATTCTAACCCACACAGACACGTGCAGGCAACTCGCTGTAAAAGTGTAATGATCTTTATCGTGATCTTAAATCACATTTCACAAAGAAATGGTGCACCTGCTGACACCCTCTGAGATATCTACTTTGTCCATACAGACCCTCAGTGCCCCAGACTGCTCCAAACTCACCAGCGAGGCCAGTCAGTCGGCAGCTAACCCACACAGACACGTGCAGGCAACTCGCTGTAAAAGTGCAATGATCTTGATCGTGATCTTAAATCACATTTCACGAAGAAATGGTGCACCTGCTGACACCCTCTGAGATATCTACTTTGTCCATACAGACCCTCAGTGCCCCAGACTGCTCCAAACTCACCAGCGAGGCCAGTCAGTCGGCAGCTAACCCACACAGACACGTGCAGGCAACTCGCTGTAAAAGTGCAATGATCTTGATCGTGATCTTAAATCACATTTCACGAAGAAATGGTGCACCTGCTGACACCCTCTGAGATATCTACTTTGTCCATACAGACCCTCAGTGCCACAGACTGCTCCAAACTCACCAGCGAGGCCAGTCAGTCGGCAGCTAACCCACACAGACACGCGCAGGCAACTCGCTGTAAAAGTGCAATGATCTTGATCGTGATCTTAAATCACATTTCACGAAGAAATGGTGCACCTGCTGACACCCTCTGAGATATCTACTTTGTCCATACAGACCCTCAGTGCCCCAGCCTGCTCCAAACTCACCAGCGAGGCCAGTCAGTCGGCAGCTTCAAAAATTATCTGCCTGTAAACAGGTAATGTCAACATTGCTTATTTCTGCTTGACGGTGAAGTGTAAAGTCACTAAAGTGCTGAACGAATGAGTTTACACGGTTCAAATAACAAGGTTTTTGATGTTGGCAAACACGACAGAGTTTTCTTTACAGATGTCGACTGCGAAACCAATGTAACACTGTTGAAATGTCATCAACTAACCAGCCTGTCCTTGCTTGTATGGTACATGAAAGTTTACACGATGCGACACATCGGCCTTCCCACTGACCTTCAAACATAGATCCTGTTTTCATTTACGAAAAACTGCGCATTTACAATACATTTTTATAGTTGACGTTGTTATTTTTATTTTTTTGGCATACCAATTGAGTGCACCACTTGCAATGAGACTCGTGATTCGTCTATCGTCGATAAGCGTGACCTATATCTGGCGCATTTTGTGTAGCTAGCACTTGAAATATTGTCTGGGGCGATATAGTAAAGGCGAGATATACTGGAGAGTCTTCCGTTGTGAACGTGTGTCCTGTTTGAACAAGCATGTCAACCTACTTGAATACATATACTGTTTTCGGCTAGACGTAGAAGGGCGGGTCACCTTTACAGACAAAAACAAAGAGGAGAGACCTGCAGGTGAGGGATAAAGATATGGTTGGTTTCAAATACGCATCCTGATTCATATTGGAATTACTTCTTTAAAATGTGTTTGCTACAAACAACTTTTAATGTGTTTTCATTTACACTTATAATAAAAACATGCAAAACTAATATAAGAATAATTTATTTTGTTAGCTCGCGCTCTATTACATAGATATTTTACATCAAAATACTCCTTTATCTTCAAATTATGTATCAAAATTTTAAAATTAACAAAAGACACACACAGAGAGAAATAGCGAAAAATAAGTTTGATTCTGTTAGAGGGTGAAGATTATGACAAAATGTTGTTACATAAATGAGGTCAAGTTATGATGGCATCCGATTGTAATAAGTACTTCATTAAGAGACACAACCAGTAACCAAAATGGTAGCTAAATAACCATTGCCACCTGTCACCAGTTAATAAGCATTTGTAATTTAATACACAGGTTCCACCTTGTGGCGGAACAATGAAATATAGATAAATGGCACCGGTGTTATTATATACTGAGTCAAAAAAGAAACTTCACAAAATGTAATTTGAAAAATAATGAATAATTTTTCTCTGATGATACATCTATGTATCCGAAATGGGATCCCTAGCTTTCGACTCTAGAAAAACGTTAGCAAAACCCACTCAAACCCATCCATTCGTCGTGCAAATGACGTTAGTGCCAAATCAGGTTTTGCACGCGCAGTCGATCGCGTGATCTTCGCATTGAAGTTTTCTTCATATGCACGTGATTGCATTGGCCTCAAGAATTGAAAAAACACTTTTAAACCACAGTTCTAACGGTACTTGAAATGCCACGATTGTCAAATGTGCAACGTGAACGTGTCGTTGGCATGTTGCAAGCGGGAAGATCAGTTATGTTTACGTTGCAAGAGCAATGGGATGTAGCCGTCATACTGTGTATGACTTGCGAGGTCGTCTACAACAAACTGGCACCACTTCTGATCGCCCAAGGTCGGGTCGTCCACGTGTGACGTCACAAGCAGAAGACCATCAAATCGTCCTACGTCACCTACGTGACAGATTTCTGCCGGCTACACGAACCAGGGCTGAGATGTTTAGAGGTCGACTGTCCTCACAGACCATTCGAAATCGGTTGCGGGCTGTCAATCTCTATTCTCGACGTCCATATCGTGGGCCAATATTGACGCCGTTTCATCAACGTCAACGTCTGCTGTGGGCCCAATGTCACCTCCGATGGACCCAGAGAGACTGGAATCGAGTCGTCTTTAGCGATGAATCCAGGTTTACCCTCAGATTCGCGGACGGAAGGCATAGACTCTGGAGACAACGTCGTGAAAGGTATGCCCAATGTTGTGTACAGGAAGTCGACAGATTCGGGGGCGGAAGTTGCATGGTGTGGGGTGCTTTCTGTGGGAACAACCGTTCCCGAGTTCTGGTCATCCGTGGAAACCTCACAGCTGCTGCTCACCGCGACCAGGTGCTCACCCCTGAACTCGTTCCTTTCATGGCGGCTCATGGCCCAGGTCTACAGTTCCAGCATGATAATGCTCGGCCGCATACCGCGATGTTGACACGAAATTTCCTTCAAAACGCTGGAATCAACGTCATGGACTGGCCATCGAGGTCCCCTGACCTTAATCCAATAGAGCACGTTTGGGATGCACTTGGGAGAAGGCTTCGTGGTCTTAGGAACCAACCACAGAATTTGCAGGAACTTGGCGCTGCCTTGCAAGAGCAATGGCGCAGAATCCCCAACCACGTGTTCACAAGCATCAGGCAGTCGATCAGGAGACGGTGTTTGGCAGTGGTGAATGCGCGGGGCGGCCATACACGATATTGAACTGAGAAAGTTAGCATTTTTATTCTTGTGACTTGACATTCTGTATACCCATGTTTTGGAACGGCGGTGTAGCCTAATGGAACTGATTATGGCACTGTCAGTGTATCGAGTACATAACACAGATCTCAGCAATGAAATAATAACAATTTGAACCATCTTACCATCTCTTGCTCTTTTATAGTGCCCTGAAGAAAGAATGTGAAGTTCCTTTTTTTAACTCAGTATAGATTCGTACCTTGGAATAATTAATTCGTGGGATCTGATTGGCTAAACCAACCATTTATGTTTCGTTTATGACATGCTGATTCTCATGTTGAAAAAACCCCAGTTAACCCAAGATATATTCGTAAATGGAATTGGTGTGAAGCCAAAACTAAAAAGTAAAAAATAAAAACAAAGACAGTTGCGCAGATAATAATGGCGTACACAATTAAGTGACTTAATGTTCACAAATCACTACAAAGGAATTGCAATAGCAGTACAAACTGGAGTGACAACACGAACCCAGTGACGGTACAAGAAGAAAGACAATATAATATATAAGCAGTGACTATACCAATATAGAAGTTTATAAATATGACAATACTCGCATAGCTGCTACAGTGGTCAGACTTCCATAATTGGCAATATGGGGCAAAAAGGTGACATTAACACAACTTCTTGTAATATTGTAATGCGAGATGACCAAGACAAAATGTCTGTATGTCTGTTTGTCTGTCTGTATTTATGGATGGATGGATACACGCGCGCACACATGCGCAGACAGAGATAGGTTATAATACGGACTGATATGCCTTGACCTGGGGCATTTGTTTAGTTACTGCCCTAAAACAGCAATTGATTGTGATACAGTGAAGTACATTTATTACGTGAACGCTTTTGTGGTTCTAATCTCTTGCACATTGTAGTCGAAATGCGAATAACAAATAACAGCCATATATTAGTGGTCCCTTTGAATTCGTTAAACCTCTAGTTTACTATACATAGTTGTCTTCAGGCATTTGCGATAATAATTAATAACACTGATAATATTAATGACGTATTTATTTGCAAGATCCTCATGGTCACTAGTAGTGTTGGGAATTGGTTGAAATCTCACAATTGATGATAAGTATAAAGAAAAAAAACATTTGGTTCTCTGTTGTTTTTTGTTTTATTTAGAAACTTACATTTGCAAATTTCACATCCAGTGTAAAATGATTCAGTTCTAGTGTAACATAAAGATCCCAGATTCTTCAAGAAATATTCAGTCATGACTTTTCAGAAAGTGAAGTGAGTTTTCTAAGAATTAAACACGTTTTCCGGCCCTGACAACGTCCTAGATATGTTCCACCATCAAGTATTTCAAACTCTATTACAGCGGTTCCAAAATCGTTTGTGTTCGATTATGAGAAAATGTGATCGATTGCTTGGTTGTTTGGCCACTGAGACCAATCTTCGATTATTTCAATTAATCGAACACCACTAGTCACTAGTATGGTGATCTACCTTCTGTTGGCGATCTATAGCCTGTTGTTATATTATGTATTGTCCAAATAGTACTATTAGTTTTAACTTCACATGCTAGTTTTAATTCGAACTGTCAGGGCCTAGTTGTTTTACTTTTCTTTGACGACAGGTTTTATCATATATAATCATTCTATATAAACGTCAAATTTGTTCTCGTCAAGATATGGCTGAAACATTCCGATGTGACGCTACATATTAACTCACTGACTCACTATTTGCAAACTTCAATACGCTCATGCTTATGTTACACATGAAAACCGGGATGTATATTTGTACTTCAATAAACGATGTCGATGTGTGTTCTTTTTGTGTTGGCAGTTGACTCTGGACATGGAGCTGATGGAGAACGCCCCCTACCTGGACCAGCTACTGGACTTTCTCAAGGGGAAGGAGGAATGGTTACCTAGGAGTCTCACCGGTCGGGCTGTTCTGGTGGGATCAATTGCCGGAGTAACCGTTTATCTGATCACAAAGAAGAGGTACAATTTACCGCCTGGGCCCCGAGGATTGCCGTTGCTTGGGAACCTCCTAGGTCTGTTGGTTTAGATGTATTTTATCAAATCAACTTTACCCTCACTGATAAACATGATATCACATGAAATATCCCTTGGCATACCCCGGGACTACAACGTATATCCGATACCTCTACCTCAGGAAATATACTCTTAAAAAATAGTAACGCAAAAGTGAACGTTTCCTTATAAATTTAGATATGTGGAAACCTAGCGTTACGAACGCTGAATATGTTGTGTTATGGAGCTTACAAAATGCAATTTAGTCACAATAATCGTTTGGAAATCGATGACTTGGTAAACAGATGGTTAACAGTGATTAAATTACATTTGTGACGTCATTCCATTGTCTTCTCGCCCCATAATTTTCAGTTTCAAATTAAAACCTTCATTTTGTGATTTTATGTTGATAACAGAAATATTCCCAATACTTTGAATGTAATTTAAGTAGGGTAATATCCTCGTAACTCTCCATCCCTTAAAATAATGTGCCTCGGCCCCTCCGGAACCTCGGCTCCATTATTTTTAAGTAATGGAGAGTTACTCGGACATTACCCTCTACAAAATCGCAAAGACGCAACTGCTGTTTTGAACCACTTTCGCAAAGGCATGGTATGCAAGTGCAAAAGGCACAAAAAGCTCTATGAAGGTGCAGAGTTCTCGATGTCGCTTCACCTCGGTTAAAGCTCTCAGCACAGATTTCATAATGTCAGACTGAACGAAGCTCAGAGGAACAGCGCCATCGGACAATTGCAAAGAGGAGAGTCCAGATCAGAGGTTGCGAGTTTTGAAATGTCTCCTCTGGCACCATATCGAGGCTATGGAACCGCTACCAGCAGCAGGGATCAACACGTGGCCTGCATGCTTGACTGGATAAAAGATTTCTTGAGGGATCGAACTATACAAGTTCGCATTGGAACTTCTCTGTCGGATGTATACATGTTAGAGAATGGAACACCTCAAGGTAGTGTTATCAGCCCAACCTTATTTAATGTTATGATTAATGACCTGTTTGAGAATATCAGTAAAATGGTCGAAACATCACAGTTTGCAGATGATGGAGCGTTGTGGAAACGGTCCAGTAATTTTGACACTGTCTTTAACGGCATTCAACAATCTCTTCATCTTGTACAGACTTGGTGTGTCCATTGGGGTTTTAAGATTTCAGCTTCTAAATCGTCTGCAATCATTTTTACTCGGAAGAAGATTCCACATAATTCAAAATTGGTTTTGTGCGGTTCTCCTTTGGAGTTTGTGGATAAAGTCAAGTTTTTGGGACTCTGGTTTGATAAGAGGCTTACTTGGAAACCTCATATAGACTATTTGATTCAGAAATGCACTAAAGTCCTGAACCTTCTGAGAAGTATTTCCAGTACCAAATGGGGTGCAGACAGGACGTGTTTGTTACTGTTGTATCGTGCCCTCATTAGATCACGACCTGATTTCGGCTGTCAAGCCTATGGATCTGCATGTGCTACACAAAAGGCAAGACTAGCTGTTGTTCAGTCAAAAGCCCTACGAATATGCCTTGGAGCATTTAGAACTACCCCTGTTGAGGCTCTCCATGTTGAATCTGGTGAACTGCCTTAAGATCTCAGACGTGAACTGTTAGAAGTTCGGTACATGCTTAAATTGAAATCTTTTGGAATGAAACACCCTACTTCAGCTGTATTGGGAGATTGTGTTGAGTATTTCCTAGATCCTTGGAAAGACGGTATGGGGCCTTATGGGATGCGTTCTCAGAGAACTGCTTTCCATCATAATGTCCGTGATGTTGCCATAGCTGATGTTAGTGTTCTGCCAAAGAAGCCACCATGGTTGCTTGACCTTCCATCAGTTTATCTTGACGTTCTGGAACAAGCAAATAAATCTGATCCGGCGCCTCTTGTTAAAGCTCTTGCCGAGGAACATATCCGAAGTTTACAGTGGATCAATGCAATGCAGATTTACACTGATGGATCTAAGTGCTCAGTGTCCGGTCGTGTTGGTGCAGGTATCTTCATAGCCACTGATAAAGAGAAATATCTCTACGATTAGCTGATCACTTATCTGTATTCTCTGCTGAACTTGCAGCAATCATTGAAGCTTTGCGGTGGATTCATTTTTTGAGACCTGTATCAGCGGTCATTTTCAGTGATTCTGTCAGTTCTTTACAAGCAATCCAGACAGGTGCCTCCTCAGCAAGACAAGACTTGATCAATATTATCCTTGATCTTTCTAATGAATTAAGTAAAGACCTGTTAGATGTTGAGTTTTCATGGATACCAGCTCATGTTGGAATCTTTGGAAATGAAAAAGCTGATCATTTGGCAAAAGCTGCATTAGATTTTGATGTCTCAGAACAGGATGAGACAATATTGCCCTCTCCTGCAGAATTATGCACTGTCAGTAAGACCCATGCGCAAGTGAAATGGCAACAGAGATGGACCTCATCCTTAAAAGGACGCCATCTTTATGGCATTGAGCCTTATATAGCTAAAGCAAAATTATATAGAAACAATCGTAGGGAAGAGGTTCTTTTATCCAGACTTCGTCTTGGGCATTGTGGTCTTGGTGCATATCTAAACATTATTAATAATGATATTCCTGCAAATTGCACAGTGTGTAATCAGCTAGATGATGTTGCTCATTTTTTTACTGCATTGTCAAAAATATGTAACTCATCATAAGGCGATGGTGGGATCTTTGACAGCGCTTAATATTGACCTCTCCTTGACTGGATTGTTGTGTAATATCACTCGCAATGATGTTAAGAATGTCATTCTTGCTTACATTAAAGCTTGTGGCAGCTTTACTACTTTGTAAACATGTATAAACGAAGCAAACCTTTATGATGGGCAAGGTGTAAATGGGCCCAGTTGCCCGAACACCTATCAAACTTTCAATTATCCATCCATCCAACACGTGGCCTTCCCAGATGCGGTGGACCACTTGTCACCACTCCTGCCCAAGACCGCTACATCCGGTTGCGCCACCTACGCAAAAGGACGACAACTGCTGCTTCTACTGCATCCTCAGTACCTGGACTGCGCAGAATCTCGGACCAGACTGTCCGGAACTGTCTACGAGAGGCAGGGTTGCGACCAAGACGTCCTGTTAGAGACGAGATTTTGTCCAGGCAGCATCGCCAGCTACGACTGGTGTCGAGCGCATAGGGTATGGGCTTAGGGACGATGGAGACACGTATGGTTCAGCCATGAATCCCGATTCATGCTCTGCAGGCAGGAAGTGGACAGATTTGGTGGCGATGATGTCATGATGTGGGCAGATATCTTGGTGCACATCAGGGGGAACTTAACAGCACAGCGTCAATGTCTATGAGATCTTGCGTCAGCACGTCGTCCTCACCATGGCCCACGTCAACGCTGATTTCCAGCAGGACAATGCCCGTCCTCAAACAGCAAGCATCACCGCAGCCTTCCTAGCAAATAACAACATCAACGTTCTGCCATAGCCTTCCAGATCCCCAAATTAAAACCCAACTGAGCATCTTTGAAATAAATTGGATAGACGTCTGCGACGGCGACAACAACAACTACAACAGCTGTATGCCGCTTTGACGGCTGAGTGGGCTACAATTCCCCAGGCTGTCATCCGTCCATGGGCAGGCGGTGCCAGGTGCTCAGAGGAGTCACACGTTACTAACTGTACGTGACGTCAATGTGACGTTGGGACATTCGATGACTGTCGCTAAAGCCTCGGTTGATGTTGTTTATGTGTACAAAATTTCAAACTGCTTTCATTTTTAGTTCATGTAGTAAATGTCTTTGAAACATCCAATGAAAAAAATTGCTTTGCACTACTTTCTTGAAGAGTATATATTTACAATGTATTCATTTGATCACGGTTACAATTCTCACGGTCTCAGTATTCTTTTCAAAAGGCTGTAGGAAACATGAACGATCCATTTCCAAATTCGACGCAGAAGTGGCAAAAGTGATGTCCCGTGGGATTCCTTATTGATTTGTACCATGTGTTCCCGTGTTTATTTCAAGTGGACAGTTTACTTGCCGTTGTGTGTGTGCTTGTGAGTGCCAGCAGTGAAGTACATTACACTCAAATTTTCTCAACCATCATAAGGGATAACTATTTCAATGTAAAAACTGTTAAGGATCTATTTACAAATGTTCATTTTCATTTAATGATTGTTTTTTAAAAGAAATTGATTTGATTGATTCATTTTGATTGATATGTTGTACAGATAGATGCATTTTATAATTGGTATAGTTTAAATTAGCAACTGAGATTGTTAGTGACTGTATTCTCAAAGGGGATTAAATTACTGTAAGAGTACTCCTGAGAGGGTACGTAAGTCCCAGAAATTCAAGATAAATTTATTCTTACCACCTTTTTAGTCGTAGAATATCTGTCATTTTTAATGTACGCCTAGATTTGACTGAATTGCTAACAGCTGAAAGGATGGTGTAAATCCAGCTAGGGTCCAAGCAGGAAGCATATGTACTGTAAGTACCCATGGTCCTTAGTATGGTGATCTACCTTCAGTTGTTGGCAATATATAGCCTCTTTTTATATTGTTTTGTCTTCTATAGTTAAAGGTTTTTGGTTTTTCATACTAGTTTTATATCTATATCTGTGATCCTCTAGTTATTTTACTGTCCTTCGTTGACAGGGTTTTATTATTTTACTTTATTTATTACGGCTTTATTTTCAAATCCTCATCACGATATGACTGCAATATTGCCTATGTGACGTTAAATTTTAACTCACTCACATTTTATCAAACTTTAGGTGGCCTAACTGACGGTGATTTAAAAAAACACGTGCTCATTAATCATTTGGAATTGTTCAACTGACTCGCTTTGGCAGATAGTCCGTATGATTAAGGATTTCGTGTTGACATTTATAAACTATGTGCATTAACAGCCATAAATGTCAATCTCATGAATGTTTACGCACATGTGAACGCATGTCTGAATCAGCTGTAACACGTATCTTGTTCCAGCGACAGCAGCTACTGTACACAATGTTGGAAGAAATATCATACAGACATGTGAGTTTTCTGTAATGTGAAATTATGCTTACACTCAGTTTATGAAACACAGTTGCTAATGCACATGCGCCAACGTAGGAACCAACATCACATACATTGGTAGGGATAGAAATTGTCCCTTTGAAAACAAGGTTTAAAAAGAAGTCATTTTAACTTCAGAGTTCCGGAACGCAAGTATCTACGAGAAGTTGACGGAGTGGAGGGCTAAGTATGGTCCAGTTGTGAAGTTTAATATCGGTGTGTAAACAGTCACAAGTCACGGATATTTTTTAGCACTTGAAACGGTTTCAAAAGCTTTTTGTTCAGAGTAAAATATATCCATGTCATCACCACATTTACCCTTGTCGCATTTGCAACTACAATTTTGTTTTGTGAGTGATTAGATAGCGAAATGACGATGGTGAAGTCACCTGTGTGAACCTATGTAACTGGGTCAAGAGGGTTCAAGTGTACAGAATAGATATACACAAAGAACTTAATAAAGCACCCCATGTATTTTTGCAATGATAGGTTTTCAACACGTACATAAAACATCATGAGTTTTTCTGACCCGTATGATCCTTTGGCTCATAAAAAAGGCCAAAATGAATGGAATCCATGTTGATTTTATGATGATAATTCCACATTCATAAAAAACCATGTCTGTACAGGTATGGCCCTGGGATGTTTAATATTGAATTTATTGGTGAAAGTGAACATTCAAAATGTCATTTTGTGTGTCCTGCACGATTCAGTGTCAATACCGAGTGTAACCTCCATGTGACTGTATGACAGCCAACACTCTCCTCCTCATACCCCCTGTCAGTCTCCTGGCCCTCTGAAGGGGCAGTCTACGCCATTCTACGTGTAAAGCGGCTTCCAACTGGGCCAGGTTCTGTACAGGAGGATCCCTTTGTTGCACACGACGACCAATCATGTCCTAGATATGTTCCAAAGGGTTGCGATCGGCGCTCATTCAATCGTGAGATATGTCAGGGGGTGCTTAACTAACTTCTTTGTGTATATACACTGGGTGTATTATACTGGAGAATTCCAAGCTGAAGTGACAGCAGAAGTATTTGTAATAAAGAATGCAACTCGTAAAGTCTTAGCAAAATTCATTGTCTTCAAATCAATATTCAATTATTTGAAACAAATTGTGTTGCTGTGTTGAAAATAGATCATTCCCTTGACTCACAATATTCGTTTGAGGGAACCTCTTAAGTTCTTCATTGATCCGGGTTACAATTGGTCTTCAGCAACCTATACTTGTCGTAAAAGGCGATATATTATGTCCATTTTGTACAAACGAAATAGAAGATGGGTACCACGTAATCAAATTTGTCCAAAATATCGAGATATACGCAAACAATATTTGAATACTATTCTTCGAAATTGTGAGTATGTTTAAGCTTATCATATTGTGAAATGTGAAAACAGTTTTGAAGTATTTAAAACTGCGAAGTGTATTGCTTATATCTTAAATGAAAGAAAAAAAGTTGATTTTTTGTGAAACGTTTACACATGTCCTTACTCTTGGACAATGATAATAATAATAGTAATATGATTGTTGTCTATATGTGTACCTCGCCATGTGCACAGGCACATATTCCTTTGAGCTAAATTGTATTGGTCTTTGACCTAATACAAATCTTGAATTGTATTGTCTTGATGAATATTTCTCGTCACAGGACACATTACAATTGTGGGACTGAACCGCATAGACGTCGTCATGGAGGCCATGGTTAAAAGACAGGCAGACTTTGCTGGGCGGATTCAGTTGTATTCCAGTAAATATGAGAAGATAATTTCACCACAATTTCATCCAAAGCGATAGCACCAGACACGATTTTGTTCATTTTAGTATAATGCTATAATCATTCTATAAACTGCTTTAGTGACCTGTACATCTCGAAGTGATTGGCATATGGCTTCATGAAGTAACGTATGTACAGTTTGTATATTCAACTGAACAAGAACAGTTCGTACAAAAAGACGATTTAAGAAAAAGGAAAAAAAAGACTATTGATTTCAACCATTGATGATATACACGTATGATTCATGCCATTCAATTATGAAATATAAGCAAACTATGGCAAATAAACTAAATGTACTCACGCTTGCACATATACGATGTTTCTCCGTAGCACTACTCCTCAGTGATGGAGGGAGGAATATCGTCTTAGGCGACTACAGTCCTACATGGAAACTGCACAGAAAGTTGGCAACAAAAGCACTGAGGTGAGCACGAAAGTGAGTGAGTGAGTTAAAAATTAAGTCACATCGGCAATATTTCAGCCAAAACAAATTTTGAATTCACCATAAATACATGTAAATTATAAAAACATGTCATCGAAGGACAGTAAAACTGACTAGAATATCACAGTATCAAGAAATAAAACTAGCATCTCTCTCTAAAATTGGATTTTAAATTTGGACGATGCAGTATAGATCGCCAACAACTGAAGGTAGATCCACCTACCAGGGACCATGAGGACTTATAGTGCTTTTCCTACCTGCATGGATGAGCACGAAAGACTTTGATGAAGTGCATCAAATATGTCCCGCCCAGTTATCTAACATAAAACATAGGTGAAAGCAAAGCAATGAAACTATGTGTTAAAACATCGAGTACATGAAATGTCATGATTCATACATTATAAACAGTTGTGAATGAAATCACTGAATAATGGTATTGTTGATAATAGAAGCTGGTTACAGAATTGCATGGAAGGTAATATGAAAATAGAAAATAAATTGGGAATCAGGTGGTTAAAACTCTGAACGTGTGACTGGGATGTTGAAATTAAGTGACATCACTAAACTTGACTGATTTCGAAGAAGTTAACCCGTCATGGTCCGGTTCAGAATATTGATAACCAGTAACCCATGCTTGTCGTAAGAGGCGACTAACGGGATCGGGTGGTCGGGCTCGCTGACTTGGTTGACACATGTCATCGGTTCCCAATTGCGTGGATCGATGCTTATGATGTTGATAACGGGATTGTCTGGTCCAGACTCGATTATTACAGACCACCGCCATGTAGCTGGAATATTGCTGAGTGCAGCGTAAAACAATAAAAGCTGGTTACAGAAATGCATTGAAGGTAATATGAAAATACAAAACAAAATCTGGGGTGATTATAACTGTGAACGTGTCCCTGGAATGCTTGCAATTAAGTGTGTTTTTTATTTCCCTTTGCACAAGATGATAGCAAGAAAGCACTGTGGCATAAGAAATACTAGTTTCATAATGTGATTTACAGGTTTTAAGCAAACATGGAAACACAAGATACAATAGGTGAGTTGACATAGGGTTTAACGCCGTACTTTAGCTCATATGACAACGTGCATACGTGTGTATGTGTGGCTGCTTATACTAGTCCAGAATTAAGCTGGTTTTATAGACACCATGCCGCGCGCAGTTAAGCATGAATTTTGTGATAATCTAGTAATTTTACTGTCCTTCGTTGACAGGGTTTTATATATTATATGTATGTATTATGAATTGAGAACTAGTTTTAGTCACGATATGGCTGAAATATTGCCAATGTGACTTTAAATTTTAACTCACTCACTCAATGTTGACTCTTCTTCCGTTATTAAACTGGAGTGAATACAGCCAACAATATGATCGATGAAAGTCGAAATTGATAACAAGCTTTGTAATGAACGGGCGCGTGATGAATGTAACAGGATACATACCATTTTTATTTCATCATAGGACATCGGAAATGCATAACAGGAAGACACAACAACAATCAAAGGGTCACTTAGCAAGTCGAAAATGATGTATTTGTTCGTTTGTGTCCTTTCAATATTTCAGTGTGCCAGCCTGGTCGCGTGGCGAAGTATTTTGACGATCTTAGTCAGCTGCTGGATCTTAAAATATATCTGCCTGGATACCATATGATACAGTGCAACAGTAGTCTGCAAAAAGGGCAATATAATGGGGGCACGGTGGGCGATGTGATCCAGCGAGCTTGAGGTGACCGGATCGAGCCCACCTGTGACCGGGTGTAAAAACCTTGGAGTCAACTTGTGTGCAGACTCTTTCAGGGTTGTCACAACCCCTAGTGTACAGTACATAACCCTATGCTCTTAAAAGAACCCACGAATCCGTTGGTAAATGACCAGATGGTGGCCACATGAATACATGCAAACACCTAGTTGCGGGTACAGCAACGTGCAGTAACTAGGACAAAGTACTGTGGCTATGTTTCTCAGTTCACCCAGCTGTGAATGGGTACCTCGTAAGGATGGGAAAGCAACATTTACTCGGTGCGCCTAGTGGCTGCAATAGTTGTATGCTTGAATAACATGCTCTGATTCTGTTTTCTGTTCTCTCTCATTGTACAGACACTACATGACGGGGAACCACCTCGACGAGGGAATAGAGCGCTCACTGACCAAAGGCATCGCGAAGATAAAGGAGATGAAGGGGCCCTTCAATCCTCATGACGTCGTCTCCCTCATCGTGTTCAACATCATCAACAACATCTGCTTTAATTTCACGTAAGTAGAACGGTACCCGGTGTTCTACGATGGGTACTGAAGGTAATAATATTATTGAAACATACGTGAAAGATCAAAACCGACTTGAAGGTTTTGTTTGAAAAAGTAAGGGAAGTTGAAAGGGCCGATAGAACCAGGTTTTGATCCTACCTATAATAGCAATGACATGAACAATTGAAATTAAAGCATTTCGTTGGCAAGAAAAACAAGGCATCAATTGTCTATACTGTTGAAATCAACTGGGATGCGACTGGCAGTCGATACCTTGCCTTGCACGCGCTACCTGCAGCTGTGTCTTGCACGTGCGCTGCACGGACTGCCTGTCTTGTGAAGAACACATGGTTCATACTGACGAGCAATCCTAACTTTCACAGCGATCCTTAGTAGCCTAGTGCATAAAATTACCAAGCTAGTAAACGAATGGTTGGAGGTTTGAAACCCGGCAACGACACACTATAGTGAATGTTCTCAATATTGTGATATTTTACGATCGCATCAATGACAAGACAAAGTTAAATCAATCTTCAAACCATGTACAAGTAAAATACTTCAAACTCAATGGCTATTACTTAATAAATCCTTGGAAATTCGCAGGGAATGCCTGGGAAACTGACTGCTGAGGTTTGTCCTGTAAATGAAGAACCCAACTGAAAAAAAGTCACGTCACTAGAGGTTTATAAATTAACTTATATCATTAGGGGCTTATTGTGTCACATCACGCGCATACCAGTACTTCATAATAAGGGCTTATCCAGCCACATTACTCTGATACCTCACGACATTTTCACTTGTGGTCTTAACCGTAACCATTCCTTCAGATGTGAGATTAGAGACAACTACTTCAAAGACATGCTGCACATTTTGGATACGTTTCTGGACGACTTCGGCAACGGCTTTCTTTATAGTTGGAGAACAGCATAACAATCGCTATTAAACATAGTAACATAAATTAACTCATGGCTATAACAGTATTGACGTGCGTCCCACTATCAGTCGTTCTGTTTCTTACGTTCTCAAAACAGATGACATCCGTGATTTCTGTGATGCCCTATTGGCGACTCAAGAAGAAGCCTGTCAGGAGGAGGACCCGGATGTGATGTCACAAATGAGCGACCGACATATCACACAAACTCTTGGCGACATATTTGGTGGTACATATTCAAACCTAAGTTATCGTAATGTTTCAGTCGATCCAGTGTGACTCTTTTACTGAACGTGTTGGCATTCAGTTAAAGCGTAAGTAAATAGTTTTGTATCAAACAGGAAACACGTTTCCGCACTCCGGTCCGAGATGAAATGGTTGATCCATTGATAATATGTACAATGCAAATCACAGTAAGTTCAGCTTAGAAGGATCAGCCATTCAACATATTTTGTAGTCGTTTATTCCAATCCTTTAATGATATATGTGATGTACCGTATGTCCACAGCGGGAATGGACACCTCTCGCCACACCCTGCTGTGGACGCTACTGACCCTGGCTCAGCATCCAGACATTCAAGACAAGCTTCACACTGAGGTCGACCATGTTCTGGGTATGTATGTTCCTCGATTCCATAAGGTGGTATTTTGTGACGCTGGCCACGATTTATTGGTGACGTATTTTTCTAACATTGTTCATAGTCAGTTACCTACTTACAAATATGCAAAATTTTAGACAATAACCTTTAAACGATTATGTCTGTAGAAATATTGAAACACCTGGACATATTTTATATAACAGACAAATTTCATATTAAAATGAATTATGAATATATGCTCTTACACGGTATCAGCCTCTCTAACCATTACAACATCTGCATCACCTTCATTTCCTGTACATTGTAACAGATATCTGCATCCTTCAGATAATAGGTTAATGCTACTATGTTTGTCCTTCTTGGTGGCAAGAAGACCGCTTTGTTCAGATGGTACAGGTTAGGAAGAGAATGTTATGGATCTCAACTTCTTTATTATGCACAACGTTTCGGGGTATATTCTTACTCCTTCATCAGGTGAGCATAGGGCTGGCCATGTAGACTTTTAGTAATTTTGCTGCCTGCATGGACATAAGTCTTGAAGGATTTGCTCCACTTTCATTTCACGGTGCTATTCTGACCAGGAGCTGTTGGTGGTTTTCGTCAAGGCTCCCAAGGAGTCAATATACTGAATGGTCGCATGTACTGACAACAGCCACTTGGTCTTGGCATCTTCCCTGTGATACTAAGAAATCTCCATTGTGTCTCTCCAGCCTTCATCAGAGACTGTTCTATGGTCATGCCACTCCACGTGCCACGCTAGAAAAGGTTACTCTTACTGAAAAGTGAGTGCGTTAAACTTTTACATCGCATCGGCAATATTACAGCCATATAGCGATGGAAACAAGGTAAATTTAAAATACCTGTAGACAAAAGACAGTAAAAACAACTGGACTATCACATATACTGAGTCAAAAAAGAAACTTCACATTCTTTCTTCAGGGCACTATAAAAGAACAAGAGATGGTTAAATGGTTAAATTGTTATTATTTCATTGCTGAGATCTGTGTGATGTACTCGATACACTGACAGTGCCATAATTAGTTCCATTAGCCTACACCGCCGTTCCAAAACATGGGTATACAGAAGTCAAGTCACAAGAATAAAAATGCGAAATTTCTCAGTTCAGTATCGTGTATGGTCGCCCGCACATTCACCACTGCCAAACACCGTCTCCTCATCGACTGCCTGATGCTTGTGAACACGTGGTTGGGGATTCTGCGCCATTGCTCTTGCAAGGCAGCGCCAAGTTCCTGCAAATTCTGAGGTTGGTTCCTAAAACCACGAAGCCTTCTCCGAAGTGCATCCCAAACGTGCTCTATTGGATTAAGGTCAGGGGACCTCGATGGCCAGTCCATGACGTTGATTCCAGCGTTTTGAAGGAAATTTCGTGTCAACATCGCGGTATGCGTCCGTGCATTATCATGCTGGAACTGTAGACCTGGGCCATGAGCCGCCATGAAAGGAACGAGTTCAGGGGTGAGCACCTGGTCGCGGTAAGCAGCAGCTGTGAGGTTTCCACGGATGACCAGAAGTCGGGAACGCTTGTTCCCACAGAAAGCACCCCACACCATGCAACTTCCGCCCCCGAATCTGTCGACTTCCTGTACACAACATTGGGCATACCGTTCACGACGTCGTCTCCAGACACTATGCCTGCCGTCCGCGAATCTGAGGGTAAACCTGGATTCATCGCTAAAGACGACTCGATTCCAGTCTCACTGGGTCCATCGGAGGTGACAAATTTGCTACGTTGATGAAACGGCGTCAATATTGGCCGACGATATGGACGTCGAGGATGGAGATTGGCAGCCCGCAACCGATTTCGAATGGTCTGTGAGGACAGTCGGCCTCTAAACATTTCAGCCCTGTTCGTGTAGCCGGCAGAAATCTGTCACGTAGGTGACGTAGCACGATTTGACGGTCTTCTGCTTGTGACGTCACACGTGGACGACCCGACCTTGGGCGATCAGAAGTGGTGCCAGTTTGTTGTAGACGACCTCGACAGTCATACACAGTATGACGGCTGTATCCCATTGCTCTTGCGACGTCAATAACTGACGTTGCACATTTGACAATCGTGGCATTTCAAGTACCGTTAGAACTGTGGTTTAAAAGTGTTTTTTCAAATTCTTGAGGCCAATGCAAACACGTGCATATGAAGAAAACTGCGATGCAAAGATCACGTGATCGTCTGCACGTGCAAAACCTGATTTGGCACTAACGTCATTTGCACAGCGAATGGATGGGTTTGAGTGGGTTTTGCTTACGTTTTTTCTGGAGTCGAAAGATAGGGATCCTTTTTCGGATACATAGATGTATCATCAGAGAAAAATTATTCATTATTTTTCAAATAACATTTTGTGAAGTTTCTTTTTTGACTCAGTATATATATATATATATATATATATATATATATATAGAAAGTGATGAGAATACCGAGCGTACAGTAGTACATATACAAGAAGAAGTTTTTGAAATAATCACACGACACGGATCTTCACGGGCAAGGAGAAGATCCGTGTTGTGTAATTATTTCAAAAACTTCTTCTTATATATGTAGGGCGGTGGGGTAGCCTAGTGGTTAAAGCATTGGCTCGTCACGCCGAAGACCCGAGTTCGATTCCCCACATGGGCACAATGTGTTAAGCCCATTTCTGGTGTCCCCCGCCGTGATATTGCTGGAATATTGCTAAAAGCGGCGTAAAACTAAACTCAGTCAGTCAGTCAGTCTTATATATGTATATGTATATTATATATATATATATATATATATATATATATATATATATATATATATATATATATATATATATATATATATATATATAAACTGGTAATTAAATCTAAAATACTTTAACTATAGAGGATGATTCGTTGCTGTGAAGAGGCCGTTTTGCAGAGGACGATCACGTCACGGGCATAGGCTTTCAAAATCCTTCAAATATGGTCGACGCAGTTGTTATGTCCAGTGGCAGGAAACGAGGATGCATATCTTGTTATGCATTTAGATGAAACTGTCAGCTCTCTCATACAGACAAATGACATAAAGTTCAGAAAATGTAGCTACAAACTGTAGTCTAGCCTATACATCTGTCATGATGTTGTTGTAGTTTAATAACATCGGTGATAGTTTGCTCGTGTTTCATAAGCTGCTTTTCAAGAGTTCCAGATCTGTCAACAACTGGATTTCTTTGATTACCATTCTGCTGAAAGTCATTCTAGTGTAGCGGCTAAGCAGGTGAAAAATGCATTTAATGATAAAAGCCTGAAACTTTGCAGATTTATAGATTGATACATAGTGAACATTTTAGGATATGGAGGCACTCAAAATAATTTCATTTTACTCGCGCGCAGTAGATAAATAATATTTTGCCTTTTCTGTCTGCTTTGGATACTGCATCAATACCCTACTGGGACGATCTTTTTTTAAATACTGACCAATAAATACTGGTTAAACATTTTGGAAAAACATCTGAGTCAATGTTATGAACATTGGCTCTCGCACCAGTGCATGTAAGTGAGCACTTGCATCGGTTGTTACACCCGTTTGTACAGACGAGATACTAACTCCTGACAAGATTTTGATGCTTGGTGTAGTGTTGTCCAGAATACTGTCCACTTTCCTTCTGTATCCAACCCCAGTCAGTTGGAGATAGGAGTTCAGGCTGTCGAAGAAGTGACTGACCGTACATCTGACCTGCCTGGTAAGCTGCATTGAGTTGAGTTTTTCTTTGCAGATAATCTCTTATTAAAATATCCCCAAAGCATCCTTCCATGATGGTAGGGAGAAGCAACTGCCATATAGTGCTTTTACTTTGTATGGGTTGGAAGCTGAGGGAGGTTCTAGCCAACATCTCTGTATGCTCGAAGTATCACCGATCTCATCTAGAAGGATATATAGCTTGTTCAGCTTGACCTGATCAAGTGAATACTAATGCATTGCGTGACCATGTCACAACTGGTTGGGTCTATTATTGTGAAGGAGTTCCCATTGGTCAGTTGATTGTCAACATGTCCCAACAGCTGAGATATCGTCAGATATCGTCAGCAATGCCCTAACTTTCTTTAAGAAGGAAGCTACAGACATATTGCAGTTGAACATGAAATAGAAAAAGTGATAATTGAACTGGGTGTAGAGAGTGATAGCGAAAGAGAAACGGATTGTGAAAGAAACTAACATCTTTACGTTGTAAACCAGACTAGATAGCATTTGACTGTATAAACAATTTAATTAAAACATTAAATTATTGTTTTTTTCAGAAGTGTTGTTTTCCAGGACAGGTTCTGTAACGAATTCATGTATACATGCTTCGCACGAACGCAACATTAATAACATTCTCTGCTCCCCTATTTAATGAAGTTAACTCGACCTGCCGTTTGTGCGATTTCACCTTCCGGGTAGCGCAGGTCAAGCTGAACAAGATGTAGTTGTTTTGGACACTTAGTTCTGCTGTGACATCTCTCATGAACGGGATGAAGAGCCGTCTTAACTTCTGACGCTCATCCTGCGTATACTACCCATCAAAAGTTTAGACTCACTTAAAGCATTCACTATATTTTACGCATATATATGTGGTTACATCGAAGATGAATTTCTCCACTAACATTGGGGAACCAACCGCAAACTTTATGCATATGAATTGCACGAGGATCATACATTAAATTGAAAAAAAGCATGTGCAAATATCTTGCATGTGAACAGCTGTGTTGTGGCGTACAATTTTTGTAAAAACTTCGCCAATTTTCACTCAGTTTCCTCATTTTTTTAACCCATGACAATAATCTTTTCATGTTGTTTTACAATACATCAGTGCATGTGTAAACAGTACCTTTAAACAGTATGGAAATTTTTGCAAAATCTAGTTTAGATGAGTTGACTTAAGTAAGTGGCTACATTTACACTAGTGAGTCTAAACTTTTGATAGGGAGTATAGATAGCTGCGTAGGACTCTGACCAAACGCAGTGATAAGTCTTCTTTGTCTTCATTGCCAAGTATTGAAGTTCAATAATGATGAGATGTGAAACTGTCGGTCTGGCTGACTTTTGGCAGCAAAACGGAGACCAAGATGGACTGATGCATTAGGACCTTTATCAAATCTAGTGGGGCTGAGGTCTATAGAATGGATATCTGACATTCTGAGTGGGTTTGGAGCCTTCACCATGGTGATGACAGAGCTGATGGGTACTAAGATTGAGCCAAGTCTTGATATTCTTTAAGGTTGTGAGGTTGTATATCTGCTGGAATCCCCTTACTTCTGGTAAATTGGTCAAGACTCTTCCACTTATCATCATACAGGTTTCTGGTTGATCTGCGTAGAGACAGGGAGATTGCTGCTCTGCTGGAATAGCCACGCTTGGTCAAGTTCTTCTTGATCTGCTTCATGTGTACAGATGAAAAGACACCCGGATTTCGATGCTTCAGCTTCATGTGAGCTTTTGACCAAGCTGGAAGTTTTAGAACCGGATTGCCTGCCAGCTGGATGAGTTGGTTGTCCTGGTCATCAATGACTGATAGGACAGTTGAGGGACCCAGTTGTTCATGGTTCGGGTACTGCCTAAGCCTGGTGATTGATATGAAGTAGCTTCTCTTCTGGAGTCCACAGCCCTGCGGTTACACCTGTGTCAAGATTTGCTCCCCAACCCTGTAGAGACGCATCTGCATACAGAAGCAGGTTGAAGCTTTACTCGCTCAGAAGGTCCCTGTGCAAACCTTCGATTTCAGCGTCCACCATTGGAGTTACTGTACTATGTGATGCGGTAGTTGTTGTCCGAAGTCTGTCTGGTCCAGGCGTGAGGTTAAAGCCTCTGGTTGGGTCGTAGTTGCAATCTGCCTCTCTTCATGAGTGATTGGGCTGACATTGGGCAGCAATTGTAGGGTGAAATTCAACTGACGTTTGAGTATAACGGCTTGTTGAAGTGCTTTAATGCCATTGTCTAGGTAGAAGGTGCATCTAATTACCCTGTTGTGCAGGGAGCTCGAGATGGGCTTGGTTTTCTTTGTGAACAACCACAGGCCATGAAAATGCCAAACTGGATCCTTCCACTGGTATTTTTGATGGTTGAACACGAATCGTAGATACTTCCTGGACCCAGGGTGGATTGGCATATGCAGATATATGCATCCCTTCAATCTATGCTTGCCAGAAAGTTGTTCTGTCTTATCATCTGCTTCAGTTGTAGAAGGTGGAAAACTTCTCTGTGTTCAATAAGTAATCGTTGTTGAACTTCTTCATATTACACTGGATTTTCTGATACATTGTTCTTGGTTCATGAAAATTGGGGAACAGAGCCCCGTCACGAGTGAGGTATAACTTCTATTGATTCTTTGGATAGAAATGACTCTATCGCATCTGTGAGCATGGGTTATTGGATTTCTGTGTGATGAATCTGCAGAAGATAGAGTGGAGCGGTGGCGTCGTGTTCACCAGCTACTTGAGCATGCACCGGTTAAGTGGATATGTTCGCTATATAAATATACTAAAAAAAAACCCAAATATCTATTCCAGAAGATTTTTGTGATGAATGCGTCTTCCAGTAGGTCACAGTTTGGCCAATACTTCCTTGTCTACGCAGTAGGTGAGTCCCACCGATTCTGAGCAGATCTTGTCGGAGATAGACTCACGGTACTTCAGCTGGTTGATCATGAACATAAGTTATTTGTCAGACTGTGGATATTTGGAAGTGTGATATCATCGCTTTGTTGATGGTTCTGGCCCACGAAAACTCCTCCGATAATAGTATCAAGCTGAGCCGTGCATTCCGGTAGCTTTGGTTCTTGATGACTTGCAAATTAAAGTTGCTCCAGTTGGAGGTAAGGCGAAGAAGGACGACCCTTCGATGGGAAAGCTATGGGTAACCCGTCTGCAATCCAAGTTGTGTGTTTTTTCTATTGAAGGGGAACACACGCACTTGAATTTCCACTACTATTCGGAAATGAGATGGATAAGCAATTAGTATGAGTCAGGATAAGATAACATTTGCATGTTGGCACTGAGTTAATTGATATTTACCATTAGACAATAAAGCCAACTAAGTTTGATTTGCACCGGAAAATATAACTGCTCCCTTGCTAAAGACAATCTGAAGTATCTCTCCCTTCTTGCCCTTGAGCCATGAAGTTCGGGAATAATCACATAGATTATGATTGCTAAACATATCCACGACTTTTTTAATTGTGATGCCTTTCTTTGGTTACTTATTATGTTCCTTTTCAGCCAATTTTAATCCGATAAATCCCAAGCATACACAAATTTTCTCGAAGAATTCAATAGTCCAGAGTTAAGTCTAGAATTATGTATTTCTTGTGTTTTCATGAACTTGTTAACCACTATTTAAGAAAATTATTTGTGTGTAATAAAGGGCAATATTAAAGAGTTAAGGTTTAACGCTGAAATAGTATGTGAAAGTTTATGTACTGCGCATGCACACAAGATACAAAATTTGAGGTGCCTCTATATCTAAAATTATTTCAGATATCCTTTTATATATGATGACTAATTTTGGTGCTTTTATCAACAAATGCACAATTCTTAAGCAAAGATCTTATGAAAATTTGATCTTAGCCGCTCCACTATTCTGGCTGTATAAACAAACATAGTCGTCGTCAATATCAGTTTTCTGATTTCTGCCATGAAACCTTGCCAGCCCTGTGATACTTAGAAACGGCCATGGCGAGCATGATAGGTGGTGGATAGAGGTTTAGTGCTGGAGTTTACATCAATACATGACATAGATTCATAATTTCCATTCTTTGCATATCCAAGGCAGTTTCTGTCGTGGCCTTTCGCATCAGAATTAAGAACAAGAAGAACAAATCAGTCTTCTTGAGGCCTTCCCACGTTGTTGTTTTTTTTTTTAATGTGACATCCCATTTTTGGCTTTTTGCAACGTATCATCTTTGTCAATATCATGATAGGAGTTGTACTGTTATCATGTAAAATATATATAGCAGTATATATGCATGCATGTATAAAATATGATTCCAGATATTTCCCAAGTAGATATATGGACTCATAGTTCATATATTTATTGCTTATACACCTGCAGAAATCACTTGTTTTTACACACACACACACATACAAACACACACACACAGATACATATATATATATATATATGATGATGCACAGATAATGATGCTGTTGTGTAATGAAACATTGTTGAAGGTACAACAAAAGCAACAGGGAATAAATCCAAACGACTGAAGATGATCTTTAGAATCTACACACAGTAACACTATGCTTACAAATGTGCAGGCGGACGTGAATTCCCCAGTGTATCAGACAGGAGTAATCTGCCTTACACTGAGGCTGTGCTGCACGAGAGCATGAGGTTGCATTCTGTGGTACCAAGTGGAATTCCCCACAAAACACTGTGCGATACCAAAGTCGGTAGGTGTCTTTCCCTGGATACCGGCAGATCAATATTCTGTGTTTGTCACTTGAAAATCTACTTTTTGAAACTTTCAACGGAGAATAAATTATGAACATTCATTTTTTTGGTTAGGGCATTCTTATTATCTTACGTGCCAAATTCACATTTCAGCGGGGGAAAAAACATGTCACATGTTTACAAGTTGTCAATACCTGCTACATGACTTTTTCAGTCTTATTCCGTGATAATGGCAGGTGGATGTATTTGTAAACTATTTCGCTTTTTAAATATTATGTATTAGATAACTGCCCTTTTAAGAAACGAAACATGCTAGTAACTTAACTGGTTGTTCGCCATCAATGCCTAAGAACGTATGTCAAATATTAATTTTTCAGGTGGTTATGACATTCCAAAAGGAACTACCGTGATCATCAACCACTACGCGCTGCATCATGATCCAGAGCAATGGACTGACCCGCATACATTCAATCCAGATCGGTTCCTTGACCAGAATGGCAAGATGGCTACCAAACCAGAGAGCTGGCTTCCGTTCTCCGCGGGGAGAAGAGTGTGTCTCGGAGAGAGCGTGGCCAAGCCAGAACTGCATCTTCTGCTGGCTGGAATCATGAGGCATTTCAAAGTGTCCCTCCCACCTGGAGCTAAGGTGAACACAGAGCCACGCGGAGGATCTTTCGCAAACATACCACAGGATTATGAACTCACCTTTGAATCGAAAGTATAGCTGATATTTCTCATGTGATTGATGTGTAATGACAGGAACACAATTGTATGACAGTCTTATTCATACATATATTCTAGCGTAATCAGTGGTAAGTATCCAACGTCAAAATGAATGCAATAATGCAATTTTGAGTTTTGCAATATTCCAGATACTTGTTATCAGCCTGGTAGGCGCACAAACAGATGCTTAATAGTCCATTCATTCCTAAGGGACCTTATGATTCTAGGTCCTTAATGCAAAGATCCAACTTGTGACACATCTGATGACTTAACTGAACATTTGGAGACAAATGGTCTTTTAACTGAGGACCTTCTGTGACATTCGAGGAACCGCAGTCAAATCAGTCTCGTTGATATTGCTAAGATAATTAACTTATACAGAATAACATACAACTGAAGACATATGAATGAATGTCTCAAATGTCTCTGACGACAAGTTACGAATCTATGATGATAACTATATATATACACCGGGTTTCACGTGCAAGATAAGTACTATTCACTACTCATTTGTTGTATTCAAGATTTTCTCAGGATGGTGTTAATATTGATAATGTGATACATACACTTTCAATGATCAATTGGTATACCGCTCACATTGCGTTTTTTACTCTGTATTATTGTTCAAATCTAAGGGTTTTTTCCTACAAAGTGTAAATGTTTTTAAACAGAATGTGTTGGATCTGATAAATACACCTTCGTATTCTGTACTGTACTGTGTATATGATACTTTGCACATCAGCGCATTGCCTTTATATACCCAAGACGTCATAACATATATATCCTGCGGTCTTGTGCCTTTAAGTTCTGAATAAAGAATTTTCAACAAAAAATTCTGCTTTGGAATGTGGTGGGACCAAACGTAATGGTCATGGATACGCAATTTGTGGTGTGTTATCTGAAATGTGTGAGTAAGTAAGTATAGTTTTAAACCGCTTTTGGCAATATTCCAGCAATTTCACGGCTGGGGACCGCAGAAATTGGTTTCACACTTTGTACCCATGATGAGAATCAAAGCGAGTCTTCGGCGTGACGCTTTAACCACTTTGCTACGGCACCGCCTCTATCTGAAATGGGAAATCTAAGGCTTTGAGTTTAGATTTCTCATGATCATAGCAAAGACTTTGACACTTTTGGTGGAGTGGTAAGTACCGGAGCCCATCCCCAGGTGACCAGTCGAGCAAGTACCAACTGTTAACTGCTCCAATATCTTGAAAACTACTTGAAGTGAAGTCAAAGATTCTTATGAAGTTTCATTATTGGAGAAATTTAACATCGATAGTGTGAAGATTGGTTCAGCTAACATCACACCGTCAGCTTTGATAAAAGATCTTGGTGCTTATATTGATTCGTGCCTGTCTCTAGATTCGCATGTAGATAAGTTGTGTCATACCTGCTATTACCACCTCAGACTCATTGGGACGATTAGGAAGCACATCACAATGGAAAGTGCCCACACTCTTGTGAGATGCCTTGTAACATCCAGATTGGATTACTGTAATAGCCTTCTATACGGACTCACCAACGGACATCTCAATAAACTACAAAAAGTCCAAAATACAGCAGCACGTATTATATCCCTTACCACTAAACGAGACCATATCACCCCTGTACTCTCATCATTACACTGGCTTCCAATCAAGTTCCGGATTGACTTCAAACTTCTTTGCATTGTGTATAAATGTTTGCATAATCAGGCTCCTTCATATCTCTCTGAACTTCTCACTGTGTACTCCCCTACCAGAACTCTCAGATCTCAAGACCAATGTCTTCTCTCCGTTCCTAAAGTTCTCCTTTCTTCTTTTGGCAAGATGTCTTTCCAGTACGCTGGTCCTACTTTGTGGAATTCTCTCCCTCTCCACATAAAGCAGTCTCCCACATTGGAAACTTTCAAAATTAAGTTGAAGACCTTCTTTTTTTCCAAAGCCTATCCCTAAAATCAATCTTTCTGTCATCAATTTCAATGTATACTTATTTTGATATTTTATCCTCTGTATGCATTGTATGTATGCTTTTATGTAGCGCCTTGAGCATGTATCAGTGGGTGGAAAATGGCGCGATAAAAATATCCATTATTATTATTATTATTATTATTACGTTTTGGATGACATTTTGGTCTTTAGCTTAAAATACCCGTGACGGTCCGGGTTAGAATTGATCTTCAGTGAGTGAGTGTGAGTGAGTTTAGTTTTACACCGCACTCAGCAAAATTCCAGCTATATGGCGGCGGTCTTTAATAAATCGAGTCTGGACCGGACAATCCAGTGATCAACAGCATGAGCATCGATCTGCGCAATTGGGAACCGATGACATGTGTCACCCAAGTCATAAATGGTATTTTAAATATGGTAACTCTTAACTCACTCACTCACTCAACCAAGTCAGCGAGCCTGACAACCCGATCCCGTCAGTCGCCTCTTACGACAAGCATAGGTTACTGATGATCAATAGTCTAACCTGGACCTTCACGATATTCATGCTTGTCGTAGGAGGCGACTAACGGGATCGGATTGGCAGGCTCGCTGAGTGGGTTGACACATGTCATCGTATCCCAATTGCGTAGATCAATGTTCATGCTGTTGATCCCTGGATCATCTATTAGTTAAAAACTACTAGAGTTACCTCCTCCTGGATAAGCAGCTAGTCTTGGAATAAACCTGTGAAGTTGACCCGCGTCGTTGTGATTAGAAGACACGTAACATGGTGTCGTTGAGAAGCGATCCTTCAATCGGCGCTATTACTGGACAGTAGAATAGACATCACAACTTTCAACACCGACGTAGATTCACTGAGGTGGTGGTCGTGATGTTTATTCACAAATTTCGAGTCGTTCCTTTCCTCAGAGACCGCCTCCGTGGTGTAGTGGTTAGAGCGTCCGCCCGGAGAGCGGAAGGTCGCAGGTTCAATCCCCGACCGCGTCATACCAACAGACGTTAAAATATTGTACTTGTTGGTGCCTGCCTGGCGCTCGGCATTAATGGGTACAACAAGGACTGGTCGGCTCGGGTATAATGTGTCTGAGTGGGGTATTCATGCTTCACTGCAGCATGGTATCTAAGTGGGCTAGCACTATAAAGCCAGCTTAAGTCGGGGCTAGTACAAGCAGCCGCACATACATAAACACGCATGCACGTCGTCATATGAACGAAATATTCTCAAGTACTACGTAAAACCCAATTTCACCTCACCTCACCACACCTTTCCTCAGACTTGATCTCACAACACGAGCGGCCAGCTTAGGTACGAAAGCGACGACCAGTTATAGACGTGAGAGTTACCCCCTTAGCACGGTGAATCAACTGACTCTCCAAGCACTGTTATTCACTGGATCTGTGATGAAATTAGGATACCTTTTTGTGAACATTAAATCTACGTTTGATTGTAATAATCCTTCCTTTTCATTAAAAAAACGTTCATTAGTAATTGTGAGGTAGCAGACATGCTCCCCCGCCAGTGGAGCTATTGAACCATGTACTAACACTGACTTTGTGTCTGCTATTGGTTGTGTCCGAAAGAAAAACGGTAATCTATATATTCATAATTTGAAGTATCTTAATTCTTGTTGTAGTGTTTGAACTTTTAGAAATGAAGATATCAGAGACGTTGCAGATGGTATTAAACAAACAGATTATACTGTTACTCTTGATGTTAAAAATGGTTGTCATCATGTCCCTGTAGAAGAAGAAGTTTATTTGAGTGTGAAGGTCATCGGCCCCTGTACAACATTTGCCTGTTCACCCTGATGACCGTGACTATTTAGCTTTTACATGGAATGGATGAGTTATTACATGGAGTGTTTTACCATATGGGTTAAGTAAAAATCTAAAATACTTCAACTATTGAGGACGATACATAATAAAATAAGGCTATATAGCGATATTTCAGCTATATAGTGACTATGAGCGTTGTATATTAAAAATAAACATAAACAATATAAATATCTGTCAACGAAGGACAGTAAAATATCTAGATTATCACAGTTGTAAACTTGATCGTCGCCAAGAACTGAAGGTAGATCACCATACTAGCGACCCTGTGGACTTACGGTACTTTTGCTACCTGCATGGACCCTAGCTGGATTTCATCGTATTAAGAGAGACATACCTACAACTTCACACAAACAAACTGTTACAGCTCGATGTTTAGCCCGTGTCTGTGGGCAGTGTGTGTTAGTCTCATGGGCAGTTGGTCAAGGTAAATTATTTCTTAAAGCTAGTTAAAGGCTACTTAGTACCCGTGAAACTACATGGACAGAACTTCTAGTCAGCGCCCTTCATATAATGCAGTTTTCTTGACTCTTCGCAAACCTTTTAATGCACTTGATTCTAGTGGTGTTTTTCGCATTATGGAGATGGTATAAGGTAGTGAGTGAGTTCAGTTTTACTCCGTATGCAGCAATATTCCAGCTATATGGCGGCGGTCTGTAAATAATCGAGTCTGGACCAGACAATCCAGTGATCAACAGCATGAGCATCGATCTGCGTAATTGGGAACCGATGACATGTGTCTGGTATAAGGAAGAACGGACTGTTGGAGCTACAGTTGCAGTTGATAAGGGTATTGACCCTCATGTTGTGTAGATGACTGGTCGCTGGAAGTCGGGGGATGCCGTCTATAGACATTGTGTTCACTCCAGAATATGTAATTGATATTTGAAATTCAAATAGATTTTAGTAAAAATTGTTTTAGTTGTGTCAAGACTGGTCATAGATGATGCAAGTTTCACTAAAGTGTAATCACGTGGCTAGTCCTGTGACTGTAGCAACAGGGGTCGCTATCTTGCTCAGTGTACAGTGTTTCAATATGGAGGAGTCATCTCCCTTTATATGTTGATAGTGAGTCGGAGTACGTTGAGCTGAAATTAGGCATTTTTTAAAAATATATTATGTAATCGTTAATTGAAATACAATTTTTGTGGGTCATAACTGGTCACAATTGGTGTACGTTTCACTAAATATATAACCTACAAAGACGTAAAGATATCTGATATTGATCAGGTTAAAACTGCGCCATACAGTTGTCCTCCCTTTTTTGAACTTTGGAAACAGGTGTCACGCCAACATCTGGCACCCCAGTCACAATCTTCAGGTTTTGTTCAATCGATAAATTGAATATTCGATACATCTGTATCCGATATCTAATTTATTCTTTATTTTACGTTTAACGTGTTTAAATCCAGCTTGAGTGAGTGACTTTAAATGACTGTAAAATAACTCAACTATCGTTGTTTTACACCTAGTATGAAACCTATGCTCCCCGGGCAAGACGATGCGACGGGCACGGCGATGTGAAAATTGACACGCTGCCCTCCACGTCTGCCCACGGAGGTCGGAAACATGGGAGACCCGAGGTAGTGCATAGTGGGATAATTCCGACCTCCACCATGATCAAGCTTTTGGTTCCCTGGGTGCTTAGCTTGTGTAACGGTGCACGACGTTGCTCATGCTATTCTTCATTGGTTCTCCCTAAGATGCTCGATGCGGCCATGGTGTAGCAGAACTGAAACACATTGAGTCTTGACAGGTGGCTCAGAGGCGAATATGCTCGAAGCAAGCTCAAATGTTGGTGTTGCATAGAGGTGAAAGAGGCGATGGCGGCAAAACGGTAGCTGGCGCAGGCAAACCAGTTCGAGTC